AGTCTGGGGTACAGAGAGCTTTGGGGAGGCCCTACCCGGGGCGAAGGTGTGTTTAGGAGCAGAGGTTACACAGGCACAGGCACGTTCCCATGAATTAGGGCCTTGCTGCAAATGCGTGTGTCCCACAGCCCCACAACCCTGTCCCAAGCAGGTTGAGGCAGTGTCCCTGCCCGGCCCCATGGACAGTCATCTAGTTCCCAGCCACAGTTCCTCTTTTTGTGTAATCGGAGACAGGGAAACCTAGTGAGTAAGTGTGACACTGAGATTCACACCCAACGCCACCTGTCAGCTGCGGTCACTTTCCTAACTTCCCTGTGCCTCACCTTCCTCAGCTGTGACACAACTCTGAGGCTTTCTGTTGCTCCCAAGTAAATGCTGCTCTGGCCTGGGAGACCACAAGAGTCCTAAGACTTCTTTCCCTTCCCTACATTGCTAGAATGGGGGACACAGTAGGATCATACACCCTGCTGGTCTCCTGTTTCAAAATGCTTGAGGCTTGGCACCAAGAAAGGCCCAGGAAGGTATGGCAGTCACTCAGAAAGATGTGACATGTGGCCACCAACCTACCTGGGAGCAGCACAGTGATGGCATCAGGAGATTATGGAAGAGACACCCCACCACCAAACTGCCCCCTCCATGCTCCACAGTGGAGAGGAGCTGGGAAGGGGTGGCCAGGCTGGGTCACACAACAGGTATGTAGAAGGGGCTGTCTACTCTCGGCCAGGATTCTCAGAGTCTCCTCTATACTCAGGCCAAACTCCACCGGCCAGCATCTGCCTCTGTCCCATGGGCTTCCTGGCCCAGGGGAAAGACTCCCTTCCTTCCCCATGCTCCTGCCTGGGCCCCCAGCACCACCCTGCTGCTGACCCTCCACACACACACACACACACACACACACACACTGTTCCCTATGTTCACCTACCAGCCTCAAGCCCTTGCTCCTCATCCCAGACTCTGCTTCTGGAGCTCCATAGGAGGACCCTGAGGCCTGAAGCCATGATGGCCACAGAGCTGACATTATGGCTTATGTCTAGATCCCCCAACCCACCCCAAAACTTTATGCAGTCATAGGTGGGGCTTTTTCAGAGGTGGCTGGAGCTAGAGTGTGTGATGGTGGGATTGATTCATGGTACAATGCTAGGATCAAGGGCACTAGGATTGAGGGTGTGAGTGCTACCCACCCTAAGTAGCCTGGATAAGATCTAATGGATAGAAAGAGCTGTGTTCATCCCTTGTTGCTTTGCTCCCTTCTGCCTGCCATGAACTGTTTCTCCTCTGTGATGCCACCCTGCCTTTTAGCCTGCCAATTATGGACTGAAACCTTTACAAACTGTGAGCTAAATAAACTTTTCCACCTTTAACTTTGGGTGTCTCAGGAAGGAGAAAAGTAACTAAGAATTTGGTACTGAGAGTGAGGTTGTTGCTGTGACTGCACCTGACCATGTGGTTTAGGAGCCTTTTTGACTGGCTTGTGGGAAGGGGAAGAGTTAGGAAAGTTTTGGAGTTGCCAGATGAAAAAGTAGAGCTGGAACACCTTAGGCTGTACTTGCTGGAAGATTCTGGTCGGCACTCAGAAGACCGGATGGCTGACAGAAATGATGAATGGAAAGAACAGGCTCAGGAAGTTTCTGCTGAAAAGGACTGCATTGGCTGTTGGACCCCAGGTGATGCATATTATGTCTGGCAGAAAGTTTGCCTGCATTTTGCTCTCTCCAGAGACTTTGCTTGAGACTGAGAATAAAGGTGGCAGATTAATTAATCTAGCAGAAGGAATTTCAAGACAGCCTAATGTTGAGGCAGTGGCATGGCTACTGTTGAGGGCTTATAGCCAGATTTATGTTGAAAATCAAGAGCAAAGAGCCTAGCAGAATGATTCAAAATGTTTTCAATTTGGCCAGAAAGGAAGCTAAAGGAAGCTAAAGGAAGTAAAGTTGTAGCCTGCAAAGATAGAACAGAGGAGAAATTGGTCACTGAAAAGGCTAATAAGAAAAAGTCAAGTATTTGAGAAGAAGACAACAGAAAAGATGGCCTGAGGACATCACAAGAACCAACAGGACTCCAGTCTTTGCATCCTCAGAGTTACAAATGTAAAAGACTTTGCTTTGAGAAGAGAGCCCCAAAGCACCATGATCCAGAATGGCATCAGCCTAGGGAAGTTTTCTTCAGGATTTAGTTCATAAGTACTCAAACCCTACAGCCAAGAGAGAAGAAAGCCTAGCTACTACTCCAGCTGGCAGCAGACTTTGGCATCATACACATGGTGCTGGTTTTAGGTGCATACAGAATGCAAGAGTTGTGGGGTCAGGAAGGCTTCCACCCAGATTTCAGAAGAAAGCCTGGGAGGCCAGGCAGTGTGCCTTTGACAAGGCAGTGTGTAAAGCTGTGAGTGTGAAGCTGAAGGTGCAGTGGAGATCCCAGAAGTTTGGAGAAGCCAAGAATGTGGATCTTCTGAGGAAAGCTGCAGGGAGGGAGCAGAGCCAGTCTAAGAGAGAAGCCGTGGGAGCTACCACCACTGGAAGTACAGTAGGGGCTGAAGCACCCAAGCTCTTTGGAGTTCACATCTTGCCACAGATTGCCTTCAATGCTGGATATGGAACTACAGGACTTAATGTTTGCCCTGCTGGATTTTGGGCTTGCTTTGGTCCCATTCCTTTGTATCCTCTTATTTGTGCCTTTTGGAATGATAATATCTCTCTTGTGCCATTGAATGTTGGAAGTGTTTAACTTTCCTTTCTTTTGTACAGGAGCTCACAGCTGAGTTGCCCTTAAATGTCAGAGGAGACTTTGGACTTGGACTTTTCAGCAATGCTGAAACTGTTAGGACTTTGACAAGTCTTGGAGACGGACTGTATGCCTTTTGCTTAAAGGGACGTACATGAGTCTTTGGGGGGCCAAGGGTGGAATGTTATGGCTTGTGTCTAGATGTCTCCCCAAAGCCTCATACAGTCATAGGTGAGGCTTTTTCGGAGGTGGCTGGACCTAGAATCTATGATGCTGGGATTAAGGTTGTGTGAGTGCTACCCACCCTGTCACTTATGCTGTGGTGTCAGTGTATAACCCAGGGAGAGGCTGATCTGAGGTTTCTTTGGTTGGGGTTTGTTTTCTCTGCTGCTCTCTCTGCCCTGTCACTGAATCATCTCAGGGCTCAGAACTGGCTGTGCTCATCAGGGCCTGTCGCTGGCCACAGGATGTTCATCATGTATGCCCGTGTCCCCTGTGTGATGTTCACGTACAGATGTGCTTGGCTCATTTGACAATGGGACCAGGCAAGCTGGACCTTGCTGAGCAAATCAAATCACAGAAGGATTCTCCCAGCGTGGAGAATTGCTGCTTAGGAGACAGCACTTGGACCAGCCAAGGGGACTTACCCAAAAGGCTTCACTTTGGTTCGTGGGCTTTTCCTAAACCAGGAGACACTGGGCTGAGGCTTTGCAGTACCAGACAGACATTAGAATTGTGTCTGTGTGCGTGTGCCTGTGTGATAGGGATGCGTGTTTGTGAGTTTGTGTGTATCTGTGAATGTTTATGAATACATGTTATGTGTATTGTTATATCTGATTTAGGGTGTGTGTCAGTGTGTTTTTGACTTGTGTGTCTATATGTGAATGTTCTGTTTGTGTTTCTGGATGTGTGTTTGTAGAACTACGTTTGTGTTTGTGTGTTGTATGTTTGTGGAAGCGTGTTTGTTTATGGGTGTGTGTTTGTGGAAGCACATTTCTGAGCGTGCGCATGCATATGTTTGCACACATATGTCTGTGTGTTGTATGCGTGTGGGTGTATGTGTGTGCTGGCGGAGGCACCTTTGTGTTTGTGTGTGCATTGTATATGTGTGTTGTGTGTTTGTGGAAGTATGTTTGCATTTGTGTGTTGTATGGTTTTGTGTGTTTGTGGAAGCATGTTTGTATTTGTGTATGTATGTGTGTTTATAAAAGTACATTTGTGTTTGTGTGTGTTGTATGTGTTTGTGTGTTTGTGGAAGCATGTCTGTGTTTCTGAGTGTGTGTTTGTGGAAGCATATTTGTGTTTGTGTGTTGTGTATGCTTGTGGAAGCACGATTGTGTGTGTTGTGTGTTTGTGGGCATATGTATGTGCTTGTGGAACCACCTTTGTGTTTGTGTGTGTATTGTATGTGTGCATGTTGCATGGATTTCTGTATTTGTGGAAGCACATTTGTGTTTGTGTGTTGTATGTGCTTGTGGAAGCACGTTTGTGTGTGTTTATAGAAACACATTTGGGAGTGCGGACACATGTGTGCACTGAGAGGCAGCCACAGTGTCCACGGGAGGCACACATTCCCAGCGTGTCTTGTCAGCTCCTGGCCCTCCCTGGGGACCAGCTCTGCTGAGCCCTGAATAACAACGGCTGCCGCAAGTGTCCCAGGCATTAGCCTAACAGCAGAGCCTTCATCCCTCCTAAGCCCTGTTCTTTACCATGCACATGGTCCACAGAGCAGGCAGCTGGCATTGTCACCATCTGCTGTCCCCAGTTTGAATCACAGTGAGATTTGTGCAGCCGAGCAGCAGAGCCAGGCTGCCGGTCCAATTAGTTAAACAAACGGAGCAAGCTCTGCTGACAAAGCGGTGATAAATGCCCTGTGATAATTATGGAGCGGTGTTTCCAACTCACACCCATCACACTGCTTAATCCTGCACCCCTCGTGGCTGCCATGCAATTAAAAAGATGCAGGGAATTAAGGGCGATGAAAGGAAGGAGGGACAAGGGAGTGGCTGCCAGATGGTGGTGCTGAATTTGGAAGCCCTGGGGCAGGCCTGGTCTCTGCTGCCATGGATAGTGGTCACCCTGGACCCTCTGCCCCCAAGGACAGTGTGCCAGGTGGAGGGCATAGCCCACACTTGTGTCACTTCCAGTGGGTGAAGGTGCAGAGAGGTGGCCATCAATGTAACTCTTGGAAATGGGAAATAGATGTTTAATACTTGTGAAACAAGTTCACCATATATATTGAGGTGTCAGGCATTGTGTAAAAACAAGCTCCTAACAAATGAGTTCTGGAGTTTATTAGCATAGATGAATAACAGAAAGCTCCATGTGAAATAGCCACACTTGGCAGGACCTTTGGTTGGAGCCTCGTAACGCCCCCACCACCACCACGGCCTGGGAAACGTTTACCCAGGAAGCAAACCAGTGCTGCTCAGAAACCCTGCAAGTCCAGAATTAGCCAATCACACTTCAAATACACATATTTTTGAACATTTACATTCTCATTTTGGGTTCAGGAAGCAATTGCAAACACTTACATTCCATACCACATCACAGAACAAACCTTGACTGTTGTCTAATTCACACTGAAGCCCAATCTGCAGACCCTCAGCAAATCTGAAAAGGACCATGAATCACCATGTCCCAGATGGGAGACAGGAGGGAGCGGGCACTCTCTCCAGGGCAGGGCAGGGCACACCGCGTTTTAAACCAGCCTTTCTGTTAGTGTCTGTCTTGGGAAACCGGAGTGAATGAGGCCTTTGATTACTGAATACTTGGAGATTTTGGATCATTGCCCTCTTTGTCTCACTGACCAGCTCCACAGACCACGCTGACTTAGGTGTGTGTTTTGGAGCCATAGAAGAGACAGCTGTTTTCAGGGATCATATTTAGAGTCCCATGCTGCACTATTGTTCAAGGTGATGGAAATATGCAGGGCCATGAAACCATTCAGCGGGTGCTAGAAAGCAGGGTTTTCCTGTTTTCCAAACTCAGACAATGGAGAAGGTAAGATGAATAATAGGAAAAGGCTTTCCTATATTTGCATTTTTAAAAGCTGAGTTATTTTGAATTTGGTAACTATTTTTGTTGTTAAATCTCATCTGTTCTCTTAGTTTTCCCAGAAATATTTATAGACAAAGAGGCTTGGAAAGAAGTACCTGGTGATTTCGTCCATCAACTGGAAGGCTGTTTGGTGAAAATCGGCCCAGCCAAAGGCTGATGCTTAGGAAGGAAAGAGTCAGTGCCTTTGAGAGGGAACCAATTCATTCCCAGCATGGCTCATCGCGCACAGTGGATACAGCAGCACTTGGGTGTGGTTCACATTTTACTCCACAGTTTTGCCCGCATGATAGGGGAAGGTAGCAGGGGAATCTCCAGGGAGACGTATGGCTCTGTCACTGAGTCACGGGCCCTGCCCAGCAGGCAGCAGGGGACAGCCCAGCTCCCTGTCCTCAGCCCCAGCCCTGTGAGACTCATGCAGGTGACATTGCTGTGAACTGTGATGTGTGCCTTCTCCGGTCCCTCAAAGGCTTTCTCCCTTCTCCCATTTATGCTGCCACTAGCTTGAGATGTGAGGATCTTAGTTTGGGGGCTCAGAGGCTGCAGCAGTGGAAACACTCACCAGCCAGGTGGCCATCAACAAACTACCCTTTTCCTGAGGGTTCCCGGGGGGGCTCAGCCATAGCTGATAGTCTAAGGCTTCACTGTCTGAGGGTGGCCAGACCCCGGACGCTGGCTTCTCAATAGGAATGGAAAAAGAGCTCCACTCGCCACAAGGAAGGGGCTGCTGTCATCAGCGGGGACTGCCTTCCTTATCTGCCATCCTAAGGTCAGGGCATCCTAGGGATGAAGCCACGTGTTGCCACCAACAGGAGAATTTAAATAGAGACCAGAAAGGGGGGCTGAGCAGTGTGAGACATGAAGAGAACCTGCAGTGACCCCCACAGGGTCTGCACAGAGCATACAGGGGCCACAGGAAGAGGACTGTCTCCTCCACCCCAAGTGCCAGGGCAGAACTGTGGCAGCCCAGGGGCACAGGTGTCATGCTCACATTTTTTTCTCTCAAGTGCAAATGTTGCTGTGTCCTTTAAAATCTCTGAATGGTCACTGATGGTTTCTGTGCAAATGACAGCCAGTCTCAACAGGTTGCCAAGAGTCCTGTGGCCAGTGGAGGTTCTTGCCAAATGGACGCAGCCTTGGGTCCCTGGAAAGTTAAAAACCAGCTTGTGATCTCAGCACTCTAGGAGGCTGAGGGAGGCTGAGGCAGGAGGATGGCAAATTCAAGCCCAGCCTGGGCAACTTAGTCACTTAGTGAGACCCTGTCTCAGACAAAAAAAAAAAAAAAACAAGATATTTGGATGTAGCTCAGTGAAAAGGCCCTGGGTTTAACCCCAAATATCACAAAAAATTTCACAATTAAAATTAAGTTAAAAACCAAAGCTCCAATTGAAACCTGGAGGACATAAGATGACTAAAAGGCAGAAATTGCCAGCACCTATTAAGCCTGCACAGCCCCCATCTTGCCTGTGTCTCCCCCAGCTTAGACTTCCCACATTTCAGCACTGACAAAGGATATTTACTTAGTTCCGAAGGCCACATCCCAGTGGATGTGGATTGCTGTCCACCCCAGCCCCAGGGTGGCAACTCCTGGGAGAGACGCGTGTAACACAGGAACCGCAGGGAGGGCGCATGGCTCCAGGCCCAGATCTGGAAGTCTTGGTGGAGACCCATGCGCTTGTCTCACAGCGAGCCTCGCTTCTGAGGCGGCTTTCCAGTCAAGCTGGGCTGTGAGGTGGAGAGCGCTTTGCCCAAGCAGAGATTTTTGTAAAAGAAGTTTACACTGAGTGTGTCAGGTACAATGACCTCAAGCAGAGAATGTGTTACAAAATGTGTTAATTATTCTCTCTTCCCCTCTCCCTTCCCTTCCCAGCCCTAACTAAGGTGAAGAGGGAAAAGGGGGACCCTGAGCGTCCTGTGGGACTGAGTCCCAGCAGGTACAAGTTCTCCTGTGACCCGTGCTGAAATGCTTTAAAAACACAGCTTCCCAGACCCACCTGCTGCCCCACCCACCTATCCTTGATCCAGGGGAGCTGCAGGAGCCACAGCAGGGGCCACACGGGGCCATGCCGCTCAGAGCTGCCCAGGTTTTTCGATAGTCCAGCATGTTCACCTCCATCTGTACAGAGGAAGCAAGCCCTGCCCAGCCCTTAGGTCTTACGCTTACACCAAAGCCCTCCACTCCTTCACGCAATTTTTCTCATATTTTTCCAACTTTACTTGCAAATAAATCCAAGACAGCAAGAAACTTAAGAACCAGAGGATGTGGATCTCTACTTCCTGGTGATCCCACTTCCTGCCATTCTGAAGGCTTCCACAGCAGTGAGGGGCTGAGCAAGGAAGCGCAGATGCAGATGGGGAGAGCTGGTTCCAGTCTGAGCAAGTTCCTTTGGCAGCACAGAGTTTCTCGTACAGTCAGATCATCAAAGGACCCAGCTGCCCTCTCCGGGAGAGGCACAAACCCATCAGTGCTAACAGCACCAGCCGCCACCCTCTGCTCTAGAGGAAAGGAGAGGGCAGGGCATGAAGGGAGCCCTTGGCACTGGGCCCTGGCCTGACCAGAACCAGGGGAGAAAGGAAGTCAGCTGCATTTGAATTTGAAAAGGAGGAGCTCATAGGAACCCTTAGTGTTCACAAAGTTCCCATGGTGATGGGGACACAGCTTCCATCGCAGAAAATATCACCCACGTGGAGAAAATACCTTTTGCATCTCAAGTCAAAGGCCGTAAGGGGAAGGCATGCCACCGTGTACTACAATTCCAGTCCAGGCTTGGGAGGGTGTGACTTCCCCTTCACTCCGAAGGTGGTGGCAGCTGACTGGACTTGTCCTCGAGCCACTTCCCTTCAGCAGTCTGACCCAGGTGTCGGACTATGGAAACAAAAGGTGACAGACAGTGTTGACAGTGCCCTGTGCTGTCCACACCCTGACCCTGGGCCTCACACTCACTGCACCCCATGCTACAGACATCTACGCTGCTGAGTATAGCAGCGTCTCTCCTGCCTCTGCCTCCTTCGAGTCAGCATCTGCCCACCATCCCTGCCCCCTCAGCCCCCTCACCTGTACTGATTCTCTCGGCCCTCAGGCTGCTCGGGGACCCAGGCGTAACTGTCGGCTGCGTTCTGCGGCTTCTTTTCTTTCATCTCGCGCTTGGCTCTCCGCTTGCGACAGACCAGGAGCCCCAAGGCCAGTGCCAGCAGGAGGGAGATGGCCACCACCGTGCCCAGGATGTAGAACAGCAGCAGCCTTTGCCCGTCCTCACCATCCTCACTTGGAGCAGCCACAGAGACCTTACCCATTGGCTTGCTATGGCCAGCAGCAGCTTTGGACAAGGGGGTGCCCTGCTCTGTCCCAAGGCCAGGGCTCCCACTGGGAGATGACACTTTAGCGTGGGCAGACGTGGTAGGGACATCAGAGGTCAAGGAGGACCTTCCTGTGGAGAGTGTACCCGTGGAGAAACTCTCGGAGCCCCTGGTGGGACCGAGCATGGAGGGAGACATGGTGGCGGGAGGCATGGTGCCCCACTTCCTATCTTGCTCATCCTCTGGCAGAACCCCAGCCAAGGACACTGTGGACGCATGGTCTGGGACACAGGAGAGCCCATCGGGGGCCAGCTTCAAGCCTACCAGGCAGCCACAGTGGAAGGAGCCCTGCACGTTGGAGCACAGGCCTGGGCAGGGGCTGCCCGTGGGGTCAGCGCACTCGTCCTTGTCCTCACACTGGGTGGCGTCCTCCCCTGACAGGACATAGCCCGGCTGGCAGGAGCAGTGGAAGGAGCCGGCGGTGTTAGTGCAGTCTTGGGCACAGGGCGCAAGGTTGAGAGCACACTCGTCCACATCCACACAGGCCTCCTCCCCAGGGCCACCAGCTGTGTAGCCCGGCCAGCACTCACAGTGGAAGCCCCCAGCTGTATTGACACAGCCTTGGGCACAAGGTGTGTCGTGGCACTCGTCCACATCTACACAGCCCTGCTGTCTTGCATCCAGCTGGTAGCCACGGGGGCAGAGGCATGTGTAGGTGTCCTCGTGGGGCCTGGAGACGCAGGTGGCCTCCCCCTTGCAGGGGCTAGAGCTGCACGGGTTCCTCGAAGCGCAGGACACCAGGTCGTCCCGCAGCCGGAAGCCAGGCCGGCAGCCACAGCGGAAAGAGCCAGAACCCCCCTCGAAGCAGTCCTGCTCACAGCCCCCATTGTTGAAGGTGCACCCCAACTCAGGGTTGACACACAGGGGCCCGGTAATGCCCCAGTCAAACACCTCTATCATCTTCTCCCTGCACAGCAGTTCATAGCCCTGATTCTCAGCCCCAGCTTCGCAGGCCACGCTGGCCAAAGAACCAAAGGGCACAGCATCCAGTGAGGAGGTGGTGGCCCTGAAAGGGGTGCTGTAGTTCACCTGGCCTGGGCCACCCAGGGCCAGGGGCCGGCACATGCCTTTGAAGCTGAACTTGCACACAAACCCCTCGGTGTTGCCTCCTGGGTTGCCTGATGATCCGCAGGGGCCTTCAAACCATTTGGGGAGGCGGTCTGGGTGGGGGTTCTGGGACAGGTCCAGTGGCAGAGCCACACAGCGCTTGGAGACGCAGGAGCTCTTGAGCTCTTCTTTGTGCCAATTTGCATACTCTGTGTCCTCCCCGCCACCCACCCAGCTGAAGCCTTTCAGTGGCAGCTCAGGGTCCAAGCACTTGCCCTTCTCCCGCTGGAGCCCCACCCAGAACTTGCCCATCCTCGCTGCCAGGGGCGCCCTCGGCTTCAGGAGCTGGGCCAAGGCGTGCTGAATGAGTCGGGCCTCCTCCTTGGTCTTTACCGTGGCCAGGTTTCCCCCGTTCTGGCTACAGACGCCCTGGGCTTCAGCCGCGCTCAGCTTGCCCCAGTGGGCCGTGTAGCAGGCAGTCCCTCCACACACCACAGCCTCCGCTGCGTCAGCCTCTGTGGTGTGGGCAGCAGCCCCCACCCAGGGCTGGCCCAGGAGCAGCAGCAGAAGCAGGTCCCTGGGGCTGGCCATTCTGCCTCTAAGTCCCCCTCTCAGGAGGCCAGAAACCCCTCAGTGACTGCAGTGACAACAGGAGCCTGCACTCCAGCTCCCAGCTGTGCTCCCAGGGGCACTGAGTGCCGAGCCCCAGGAGCTCTGACACGGAGACTGCTGCCGCTCTTGTCCCCCTGACCCAAGGCACATCCTGTGCCTCCTACTTCTTGTTTCTCACCGGATGCTGGGGCTTCCTGCAGTGAATAGCTTTCCAATGCCTGCTGCTTTCATGGGCTCTGTTGTTCCTAAAAGGGGCCAGGTCACGGAGCCGGGTCTCTGGCCAGAGCTGTGGATAAGCTGCCATCTGAGACTACAGACACAGCTCAGAGAGATATGCCAGCTGCTTGATTTGGACTGAGGAAACCAAGTGGCAGTCTAGTGAGCAGGCAGAGACTTCAGGAACTGAATGGAATCCCTCAGTAACCCATCACAAAATTCCTCTCTGGTTTGCAAACAACCAAAGAGGAAAAAAAAAAACAACTCTGAGGCTTGAGACACATGGCTGTGGATGGTTATAATTTTCAGCCTTTTTTAGAAGCAAGCTGGATTTTTCCTTTCCCTATCTCATGTTCCCCGTTGGCTTTGGCTTTGGGAGTCCTTTTTCTTTCAGTGCCCCCATGATGAACTTTAAATAGATAGGCAGTTTTTAAATAGGATCTGGGCCGTGGGAATGTCTGAGATTCAAAGACAATGCCAACCGCCTCGAAAACATTTAACCGAATTGAGTGAAATTTGGCAGCTTTTAGGGTCTCATCGTGCAAATAATTGCATGGTGAGGTGGCAGGGTCATAAAAAAGGACCAGAAACAAAAGAAAACAAAAATGTTTCTAGTTCTCATGGTCATGAGCTTGTGTGCCTTTTCCAATAGCTCAGAGTTCAAAACAGGGATGAGACCCAGAGACTGGAGATCCAGCAGGGGTCTACTTACCCATCCATCCATCTAACCACACACCCATCTACTCACCCACCCATCCACCTGTCAATCTGACAATTTTTGTTCCTCCTTTGTGCTGGGTTAGGTACTGGATTCCAGGGAGGAATTCTTGTCTTTATGACCCTTGAAGTCTTTTAGAATGGACAAATTTGAAGTCACTGCAATGATCTGCTTCAGTGCAAGCAACTCAAGGAGGAGTTCAGGGTGCTGTGACTTGATGGGGAGTAGGCAGTCTGGAAAGTGTCTGGAGAAGACAGGCACTGAAGCTAGAATCTAAAGGAGAAATAGCTAAGATGTAAATGGGAGAACATTCAATGGTATGGATGAAGGGTTGTCGATGTGGAGCCTGGGGGACAGGAGAGAGGACACAGGGAAAGGTGGAGCCCTGTGACTCCAAATAATGAGGCACTGGGCTTCACTCTGACTTCCATGGAGCAAAGCTGAGGGGCCAACACTAGAGGGGTGTATTGTGAGCAGTTGTGACCTGGCACAGACTGGGGACCACTTAGCAGGCAGATGCAGGTTTCCAACCCCGCAAGGGGGCAACCTGGCCAGGCCTGGCTTTGGACTGGGGATGGGAGATTTGAGAGATGTTGAGACTGCAGATCACACTGTCCTTGACATTGAGTGGGGTAGGTTTAAGAAACAGAAGCATAAAAGGATTTCAAGACTCCTGCTTTCGTTGCCAGAAGCTGGGTGGCTACTGCTCAGGGCCCAGAGCCTCTGGCCCCTCTCCTCAGGACCTCAGGACTCTCAATTTATCCCAAGAGTAGGGAAAGTAGCCAGATTCGAGGTGACCTGGGAAGGCTGGTGTTCCTGTCTCCAGGCCACCATAGCTGCCCGTGCCCTTGGGCTTGGTGAGGGTCAGCACTGATTGTTCCCTGGACTATCTGCAAGTAGGTGACTTCTTAATATCTGCAAAATGTATCCACTAACTGTGGCCTTGGGTTGTAACGTGGGCTGGGGTCCACTTGGCCTTTCTCCTGGTCTAAGTGCTGCCTGCACAGCCCAGCACCAATTTCTCAGGGAGCCTACCACCCTACAGTGCTCCCCAACATCCGCATTTTGGGTGCTTAAGGGGACAGATGGAATGATGACTTCTGCTTGTGAGCTCCCTGGCCCCCAGATCTTTACTACTCTCTTCAGCTGTTTGTTCTTCATCTTCTACATAGGATCTTTCACATCCACTACTTTTCACTTGACATGTGAAAGAAAACAATAAACTAGAAGCAAGTAAGCTTTTGTATTCATCCACTAACCTGAGAAATGTCCGTAAAACACAGGCGATAAAAAAGGCCTGCCCTGGGAATCTTGGTTTCCCCTTTATTGTTGTTTCCCAGAGGCCAGCCTATCTCTTATCTCCTGCATCTGTAAATAAAGAGCTGGACACTTCTTGCTCTTACATCAACCACAGTGAGATCAGGCTTTCTTCTCCCTCTGGAATCAGGGAGAAAGCAACTGGCAAGGGATGACCACATGGAGTGTGTCACCAAGCTGTGCCACACATGTCATGCTCCCCTCAAACTGCCCATGGAGTCCAAGTGCAGCCTTCCCTCCTGCTGGGAACACCTGTCTTCTCACTGCTAGCCCCCACCCTTCTCCAGCTCTGATCTCCCAGCCCTAAAGGGGCTGGCAGAGGTCAAGCGGGGCTCAGCAAAGCAGGAGAACTTGCTTTTCCTGGGTGGGCAGTAGCTGACTCTCACCAAGAACTTAAGGTACCTTGATCAAACCTTGCCAACGACTGATCCTTAAATGATAAGAATCTATACCCCTGAGACCAGAAAAGCCTTCCTCAGGCCTTCCAAGGGCAGCCTTTTCCAGATGTTCTGAAATAGTCTTGGCCAAACAGCTCGGGACTCAGAACCATGGCCCCAGATCACCTGCTTCTGCCCCGAAGTCGCACTGTGCACCCAGAGTACACTGTAAATTGTCTGAAATAGACAGCACATTGTGCAGGAGTAGAAAGCTCTGCTCTCAAAAGTGGGGACTGGGCTCTGGCTGGCGGTGGGCAGGAGCAGAGTGCCCCATGTGCACATGTAGAGGAGCGACAGTACCTGTGCGCCTTCAGGAGACGTCCCCGCCCTCTCCTCTGTAGATTCAGGGCCAGTCATGCTCCACTTTTTCGGCCTCTGTCACCCAGTCAACTCCCTAGCCTAGGCGAGGAGGCCAGCTTGGGTTGAATGGTCCGAGCCAAGGGCACGGAGAGCTCAGAGTGGCAAGAACGACAGCTTTGAGAGTGGTGGTAAGGACAGCCTCTGCGGGTGGGAAGATGAAAGGTCGCCGGATGGAGCTCGAAGATGTAACACCACACAATACCAAACAGTTGAAGAGGTTAAACCAGGTCATCTTTCCTGTCAGCTATAATGACGAGTTCTAGAAGGATGTGCTGGAGGTTGGTGAGCTACCAAAACTTGCCTATTTCAATGATATTGCTGTAGCCATAGTATGCTGCAGGGTGGATCATTCAAAGAATCAGAAGAGACTTTACATCATGACACTAGGATGTCTTGCACCTTACTGAAGGCTAGGAATAGGAACTAAAATGTTAAATAATGTCTTAAACATCTGTGAAAAACATGGCACTTTTGACAATATCTATCTGCATGTCCAGATCAGCAATGAGTCAGCAACTGACTTCTGCAGGAAGTTTGGTTTTGAGATTATTGAGACAAAGAAGAACTACTATAAGAGGATAGAATATGCTGATGCTTCAGAAAAACCTCAAAGTCCCTTCTGGTCAGAATGCAGATGCACAAAAGACAGACAACTGAACAAATTACAAATGAACTTTCTTGCACTTGCTTGTCACCAAATAAAAAGAGAGGCCCATTAATTCCCCTGCCCCCTTTGTTAAACTTTCCCTCCTTGTTCTCTTGTTCTTGGTTTCCCGACCACCACCTTGATCCTTTAAAAGTTTTATTTCCAGGACTTTTAAAAATGATCATGTTTGGATTGTTTTAGTTCTCGCAGTTTTGTGAGGTGGTTGGATTGAAGGAAGATCAGTTTAGTTTCATAGTTAAGACATATAACCCGAAAATTTGGGGTATCAAATGATTGCAAATTTTTTAGCTTTTTTTAAAATGTCCTGCTTTCACACTGAAGGGCAGAGCCTACAAATATTGTTTATTTCAAAAGAAAGACTAGAAGAAGCAGCAGCAATATCTTTTTCTCTGATTTCACAGACAAGTTGAGTGTGCTTGTGGTACTTTGGGTTTTTAAAGACTACTTGTGGGATGCTTATCCCTGGACATTACCTTCACTCCACCTTTAGTCCTTCTGAGCACTCTAAGGAGTTGGACCATCGTTATCCTTGTAAGAAATACTAAGCTTATTTAGATTTTTAAAGCAATTGATTTTTCTCTTCTGGATGATGGGTGGGGGAGTTTGGGTAGGTGGTAGTGTTATATTTTGGCCTAAGTATTTGAGTTAAACTGCTTTTTTGTTAAGAGTGGATTGGTTGTCAGCATGTTTGTTTTTCCTACTATTGTTACTAGAGGTATTAAAATTTAGAGTGTGAGCTGGTGAGATTAAAATTTTTAATATCCTAGCTAGAGATAATGGCCTTTAACTGACCTAAAGAAGTTTATTGTGATTTAGTTTTTTTCCTGTCCTTTTTCTTCAGTAAGCCTAACAATACTATAGTGAGTTTAACTTTAAAAATGAAGTTGATGTTCTTATAGGTTAACACGCCTAAATAAACCTGAAGCAGGTGTTTTTCTCTTAGACATATTTAAAATACCTAAAGGAAAGCTTAGACAGACTTGTGGCACAATAAATGCATTTAATGTCAACTAATACAGGCTGTTAAAAATGTAGCCAGTGAGTGTTTGATTATATAGGAAAGAATATGTAGACAGTATTTTTTTTTGCTTAAATTCTTTTATTTATTTTAGGTATACGATACGTTTACATTTATCATTGGGTGCTTGTACCTGTACATGATGTATCTTGGTTCTTATTTTTTCCCCATTATCTGTGTGCCCTTCACCCCCTCC